TAAGCACATGTGCTGCTAATTGAACAAACACTGTGTCTGTAGACATGGAAATTTATCATACCAAGTTTTGCCATTGATAACAGAGTGTTGAATTAATGTAATACCTACCGGTAAAACTTTATTAATTTGTTTACCAAAAATAAAATGTCACATTATCTTCATGGTATTAAATAAAGAATTCTATTTTATTATTATCAGTAGTAACTTATACAGGTTGTTGTTATACCTTCACACTTTTCTTCCATCATAGACATTCTCATTGTCTACTCTTCTATTTATTGTCACAGAATGAAGCTCGTAAATTAAACCATGCGGAGGTGGTAGAAGAAGACAAGCGAAGCAAACTGCCCTCAAACTTTGAAGCCAAGAGAAAAAGAGCCGAGTGGGAATTGGATGATCAGAAGAAAAGAAAGGTGGAGTAATTATTATGACCATTGTAAATGCATTAATTATTTACTGTGTTTTAATTTCATTATCAACGCTGATATCATGAACGAAATTTGCTAAACTAAATCCATGTGAACATGTTACAATGGCACTCACAGTTCACAACCCTTTACAATATACTCACATTAGCTTTAATAATTAATTTGTTTATTATTGTTGCTATTTACACTGAACCAGAACTGTTAATAATATATGAATTAAGGGAACTGATCATTACCACCCAGCCGGTTTCCTGTGAGTTTGACTCGGTTTACCGTACCGGTCGTTGCTTTACCGTACCGGTCGTTGCTTTACCGTACCGGTCGTTGCTTTACCGTACCGACCGTTGCGTTACCGTACCGACCGTTGCGTTACCGTACCGGCCGGACAATTACCGTACTGATAGGACCAATACCGACTATTTATCACCTTCAATTAATGAATGCATGGTAAACAAAGCCCCGGTAACTGATCGGCGCCCTGCCGGTAACCGTGAGTCATGCATGAATTAATTGGGCATTTTGCAAACAATAAGAATTTTTTTTTACCCACCCATTGAAAGTGAATAATTTGAAAAGGACATGACTTGTACAACAGAGTGTTACGTCCCAGTCGACTAGAGGACTCGATGGGTTAATTATTTGTTTATATTTGTCAGTAGCTCACACAGTGGAAAGAAAGTCGGACAACCGTCGAAATACAAATAAATAAATTAAATAAAAAAGTCTTTCTGAAATTTCTGTTGAGTTGAGCAAGGCTAACAGAGTCGTGACCTCGATGTGGTTCGTAACCAGTCTTGTGATTGGTTGTTGACAAATGCTGAACAGGCCACGCCTCCAACTGTGCCGTGCGTTCGGGCAAACCGTTAGGAATTCTTAAATGGACTAAATCTGTGTAGTTTTCTTGATTTATTCTGCAGATATCGGTAAAATATAGGTAGGGCTTTGGCGAAATTTGAAGAAGCAACTAATATTCTTCAACCTGGTATTTTTTTTATATTTTATTTTTCATTCTTTTCGTCTGTTTTTTCGAGTTTAAAAAATGTTAGCTGGCTGGAGCCTTCATCCCTTGTCTATTTCTTACACTAGATACCGGCCGATACCCCCCCCCCCTTTGTTGACAATAACACGCGCAACGCGTG